TAACCCTGAACATTTACACATTACAAATTATTACCCGAATCCATTTCCCCCACATACTTTTATAAAGTATGTTCACTTCTCCCACTGTGACAGTTCATTTCGTTGTGGCTACTGCACCGTACCCACATACTTTACACTACAAAAATAACAGGAGAATATTAGAAAATTTTAGTTTTACGATATCACTATATTTAAAACGAATAAATTTTGTACAAGAGATTTGAAACGGCGAAAGAAAGGTTTTTAGCTTAGATTAAAATGACAAACAAAATATTTCAATAAAACCCTGTATACGTTCATATAAAAATGTCATAATTTTAATTCCAATGAAAACCTTTAATAATCATAAAGGCACTCGTTACTTACGACGTTGTTTACAAGAGCAACTCTAATTTCATGTGATAAAGTAAGAGGACACATTAGTACGATACAAATATTTGTGAAAATCCACGAGCAGACGAGTAATTTGAGCTCTAGCCTAGCTTTGTGTGTACACATGAAAAATCATCTGCAATTTAAGTAATTGATGTACTTTTCTGTAAAAAAGAGTTTATTTTACAAGGCACTCCATCGCAATTATAATTTTTTATATAGTGGTTTTATCCTTACACATGTAATTTAGAAAAATAAAATAATTGAAATAATTTGAAAATTCGAAAAACAAATCTCAACAATCCCCTTACGAATTATTAACACCATACGCGAGACTCAAAGGTGAAAACATGTTCTCCGGACATGTGCCCTAATAATAATACGAGTAATAAAAGCTTTTATTGGCAAAGAACAAAAAAAAAACATACAGATAAGTATAATACAATATTTGCCAAAAGGCAGAGTTAAGTCTAATCCTTGCAAGCAAGGGTAATTGCTCTCTTTCACTTAACCTATTTAACTAAATTAACTAAAAATAATAATAATAATAATAATAATAATAATAATGATAATAATATAAGCTAGATAAAAACAAGTGAAGTTCAAGTCATTCCATGTTAATGACGCAAAAATAATAATATAATAAATAGACAACGAAAATATAAAGCACAAGTCTAGAATGTTAGTTCATTAGTAAATAGCATGTTTTTTATTTTATTTTTTATAGTGCTTAATGAGCAAGTAAGATGTCTCAGAAACCTGTTGTATAGCCTGGTTATATTATACGAAAAGGATGATTGGAAGAGCGAAGTAGCTGTGGTAAACAGTACTAAAGCCTACACATAATACGCTGCTAATCATCTGAATTATCGAATCCGACGACACCATTAAAAAAAAACGTAAAACAAAATGGTTCTTCTTTTACTTTAATCGCTTGCTTATAAATGTATGATTTCATTTATTAATAAAATAATCTAACTATACATATAATTTTGTATTCAAAATTACCTTTATTTGAGTTTTTGCCACTTTACGAAGACATATGGTCTTCGTGAAAGCCTTCCAATAAAAAAAGCTAATAAACTTTAACCAACTTACTTTGTTAGTCCATAACTTCTCTTGAAACCATATTATTCGCAACGTTTTTTATCGACCACTGAATTAGAGTTTTGGCATCCGAGAAGCTTTATTAAATCTTTACGATTTTTTTTTGTGAATAGACGCGTTTACATCTGGAAGACATAAAATCACGCAGACACAATTTTTGGCTACGAACACACATAACTGGGAACATTTCGACGAACTCTTTTGTTCGAAATGGCTCATTATTTTCGCCTCACTATCTCAATACTGTAGGGATGTCGGGAAAGTTCGAACAACAAACAAAGAAAGTTAAAACGTAAAACGTGGAGTAATAGTTGTAGTTGGCTGAAATATAAAATTAAATTAGGATTTGTTGCACAGAGAAACCTTTGTTATGCCATTTTTAGTTTGCAAAGTTAGCTTCTGTTGATTAATTGCTCAAGACACTATGTGCTTCGGAGCCAAAAGTGAATAAAACATTGACTTTACTTTTGGAGACAAATTGTGGGTCAGCAGTTTTTTAAAAAAGTGTAGAAGCAAAATTAAAGAAAAAGAACGTATTATATATTTTTGAAATCGTGCTTATAAGAACTTTCATTCACACGATGGCAACAGAAAAAAATTCTAACTATTATTCCCCTAAAACTGGTCACAAATTAATGATTTTACAAGTAAAGAGTTGACTTAACGAGGTCAAAAAGACAAAAATATGCAGTTTTCAGTCCGTTCAAGAAGACCAATATAGAGAGAAAATTGATAATTTCCTAAACAGTAGAATTTCTCATAAATAAATAAAACTTCTTGGGTATAATCGGCCAAACTGTATTTTTATTTAGATAGCCCAAGTTAAGAACTAATTGTTAGCTTTTAGATCTCATTAGGAAAATTCTTTTTTTTTTTTGAGTTGTGGTGCCTCAATAGCCATACGTGGGATTGGTCCCCTTACTTACTGATTATGTGCCCTCTTATCTGTTGCCAGTGAATTTGGTGTTTTGTGGTTATCCACCTGTTCACTGCCTGTCGAGCAGAGGTTTTGCTTATCCCAAATACAGGTTCGGGTCCTGTGAATGGTAGATCTGATCCATGTTTGGCGAGTTTATTTATTTTATTTTTTTTTTATTTATTAAATACACTGCTCTACAGGCTAAATGCCTAGTTATAGAGCAGGAAAAAAAATGGTAATTACAAAAGTAAATATAAATATAACATATTGCACAATAAGACATAATTTGGATATAACATAAATTACACAACATAACAAAAATTACACAATATAACAAAAATTACATAATATGACAAAAATTAAATAAATTAATGACTATACACAAGCAAATAGTACCGAAACAGTTTTACAATTTTTTGAGCTGCGAAAGCTTACAAGAAAATAAATCAATTCTACCTTGCAGGTTGTTGCAGTTTTCACACATAAAATACAATGGCGAGTTTTTTAATAAATTTGTCCGAGATAGCGGGAGATAAAACATTAAGTTGTTCCGAGATTTAATTCTTGGCCTTTAAATACAAGTTGTTCTAATAACTCGGAACAATCAATTTGGTAGTTAATAAGTTTATAGAGGAATATTACCGACTGATTTTTTCGTCTACATTCTAAGCTTTGCATTTGAAATCTATTTAAAAGCAACGTGTGATTTATCCCAATTGGTGGATATGTTCCGTCTATTTTAAATGTCAAGAATTTTAGATATCGTCTTTGAACGTTTTCAAGAGCGCTTATGTGAATATCATAAAACCGTTTTCATATTATTGAAGCATATTCTAATTTTGATTTGCCGAACGCATTGTACAACATATTCATGGTTTCGATAGAATTGAGGTCAACTGCATACCTAATGATAAATCCCAAATTTCTGAATGATGCTTTTACCACGTCATTTAGATGTTCATTAAAAGTAAGTTGTCTATCGAACTTTACCCCAAGATCTATAACAAAATCAGTCCTGTTTAATATAACACCATCCAAACAGTAGTTATAGAGAATTGGAAAATCTTTTTTGGTATATGACACTATATTACATTTTTTTGAATTTAATGGAAGATTATTTATTAAACACCAATTATTTATTTTATTAATATTACTTTGTAATTTAAGACAATCATTTAAGATATCTACCTGATAAAAAATTTTGACATCGTCTGCTAAAATTAAATATTTTACGTTAACGTCATTAATGATGTCATTTACGAATAGTATAAATAAAAGTGGTCCCAGAATTGAGCCTTGAGGTACGCCAGAGGTTACTAAGATATCGACAGACACAAATCCACGCACTTCAACAAACTGGGTTCTGTTTGTCAAGTAAGATTGAAAAAAATGTATGACAGGCTCGGACAATCCAAACTTGCTAAGCTTTTGAAGTAATATTTTATGATCGAGTTTGTCGAACGCTTTAGAAAAATCTGTATATATTACGACTAGTTGACCGCCGCCATCAACTATTGTAGAACTGTATTGTGTAAATGAGAATAGATTTATTATTGTTGACCTGTTCTTACAAAAACCATGTTGTTCGTCCACTATCTGATGTTTGACGTATGGTATTATATTATCGTATAGTAAAATTTCAAAAACTTTGGCAAAATTACATATAATAGTGATGGGTCGATAGTTCTCGATACAATTTGTTTTACCTTTTTTAAAAACAGGACAGATTCTTGACCTCTTCCATGCATTAGAAAATGTACCAGTACGCAGTGACAAATTAAATATTTTATTTAAAGGAATAGCTAACGCATGAGAACAATCGCGAACCATGAAAGATGGTATATTATCTGGTCCCTTAGTAAATTTAGATTTTAACTTTAATATTGCCTTCGACACATCAGATTCTTTAAATTCAGCTACATGCACATGTAAATTATTTGATAAATCACTCTCAAAGTCAACATCAAAATTTGATGAATTACTGTAGGAATTTTTGAAGTAAGTAGCAAATCGATTTACAATATCCTGCATGTTTAAAAGATTTAAATCATAATAAGTCATAAATTCAGGTATTCCACCATCTTTCCTTTTAGAATTTACGTATGACCAAAAGTTCCCACTATTTATTTTTATATTCTCTTGTAATGTTTTAACGTAGTATTTATGTGCTTTCTCTACGTCCTTTTTAATTTTGGAACTTAGCCGATTAAATTCTTCGAAGACATTTAAATCATTATTGCGCCTAAACTCTTTTCGTGCTTTCTCTTTTTTTTAATATCTCTAATAATAGGTCCGTTGAACCATGTAGGGTATTTTCTTAATTACTAAATAAACAAAAACAATTTTACTAAAAATATTATTTGACACTGCCCTGATGGTCCAGGAATAATATTTGCGTCGAGTACAATCGATTTTAAATCTAAATCTGATTTCAAATTCAACGCTATCTGTTTTTACATGAATAAATTTTGTCTGAAATATTAATTTTTATTCAACCCTCTGCTGCTCACTTTTAAATAAATCAGCAACACACACACATATATCTAAAGTTCGTGCATAAAGTGCATTTCCATATTATTTATTTTTTTTTATTTTGTTTTAGGTGGATCTACGACATCTGGACGAAATGAAGGGATCTAACGTGGTGGACATTGGCATCGATTTGACTGAATTCTACACATCTGTCGAATGGGATATCTTAGAAGTTCCTGCAGTTAGGTAAGACTCAAAAATTTGAATATCGATCACTTAAGGGTTGCCTATAAAATAATGCTGCGATGCAAAGGAAGATAAGAAAAGAATGAAAACCATGAAACTCTCGTGTCTGAAATTTTTCTCACAATAATCCGATTATTTTTTATTATGCCTGAATGATCCGAATCTTACAAGGTTAACCAACATTTTTGTAATAACCTACTAAATTTAAATTTAGATTTCACCTTTCCATACTATATAGTTGTTAAAATACTCGTATTCTATACATTTCGATATTGTGACTGAACTGCGCTTTATTACTAACTTTTACAAGCTTAAAAGGTTTGACTCTAGTCTACGCACTAGATCATAACTGTATAGAAATACTACAATATTGGAGCCAGTCCTCATGTCAGTTGATAATTTTGTAAATTTTTCCTGTTTCTTCTATAGTTGATCCTATGACTAAGCTACATTACCAACAAAAATGTGGCTAATTTAATATTTTCTGAAATGTCATAAGTGTACAATAAATACATATTACTGGTCTAAGAACACTTTCCTGAGGGACACCAGAGCTTTCATTTTTCATTTTATCTCAGATAAATTTGATTCTTGTAGTGAACTATTAGGTCCTGATGCAATACTGTAATAATTGGCATTATTATTGGAAAATATAAAGAATTTACTAAAAAATTCTAAAAAAAGTATTTATAATGTTTTAAATTGAAAATTTAAAAGAAAACACACATATGGAAATAAAACAAATAATCATGTTATTACTCTAGATTTACATAGAACTAGAGAATTCAAGGTTTAGTGTGACATTTTTAAAAATTCAACTATCACGTAAATTTTGGTATATATAGAGAGACGAGACAGAAAGAAAAGACTATCTCGAGTGCGGACTAAGGTTCAGAACTTTCGCCAAGATAGAGAGCTCTCGTTTTTTGGGACTCTTAAGTCCCAAAACAAAGTAATGTATAGAGTAAAGTTTTTGTGCTGCGATTTGTGAATTATGGGTAAATATCTTTAACTCATTTTTAAAGGTGTTTTGTTTGATGATAATTAATTGATTTACATAAAAACGCCAATTTTACATTTTCGTACCGATTATCATATTTATCTTATACATATTTCATATTATTATGTAGTTAAAGTTTTCCAGTGCTATTTTTAATTGTTGTTAATAGGTTCAAACTGTATTGTTCAATGAAATGTTCATCTAGTGTCATAAATCTTTATTTAATGAATATATCATCAAATAGTGCTTTATTCCCTAATTATAATTTGAGTAATTTATTCTTTAGAATACTAGTCACTTTTGTACTTATTTTAAATATACATTTGTTAATTTTTTAATACTTAATATTAATCTCTCCTCCCTCTTTCAAAACCAGCAAATATTCCAAGCATTTGAAAAGTTTCGGCGTTTCTATTCCCTTAGGACTAAAAGAGTCTAAAACTAGTTGACAAGAACCGCTCGACTATGCTATTAAGGGTCAATTATTATTCTTTTAATTTATTTTTTTTTTATTATTTTTATTTGCCACTGGTGAATGGCTATTCCTTCTGGGCTCCAGGACCCTTTGGCTGGTGACAGTGCTGCCTTAATCCCTTAATAGTATACTAACAACAGTAGATAAAGACCTATCAGTAGTTACAAATAATCTTTAGGCTAGTCGGTTGTTACATTTAGTGAAGAGCGGTGGTTCTTTAGACAGTTGGGTGTTACAATACTTTATCGAAGGTTTTTGACCAAATTTTTTCTAAATATTTTTCTATTTATTATGCGATGAATCTGATCAATCATAGAACGTTTGTCTAGAAATACAAATTATTGTTATTCAATCTTCTAAGAGCAAATTCTCAAATATTATTTTTTATACCCTTGAGATTGGGTATCATTAATACCTCAGCAGTTTTCTAGAGTAGTGGAACATTGTGAATCCTAAATATAGCTTTTACATTATTAGTCAATATTTGTAAACGTTGGACCAGGCTTTCCAGAAATCCGTCTTAATCTTTTAAACGTGTCGCCATATAATAAATTGGTGTTGATGCTGGTGTCAATTGGATTCGGTGATGTAGTTAATTTCCTATCAATCAGAAAATAACCTGTTTAGATGGTATTTCATGGCTTAACTCCTACTTCCCATCTCTTCGAAGTGTGGAGATGCTGAGGGGATAAAGTGCCACTGGATTTCTGTATGGTTTGTATTTCTTTTAAAAGCTGCGAGAAATGTGTTAGTAGACATATCACTGACTACCTCTAGATGAATTGCCTTGGTAGAAAACTGCGATTTACCTCTTATAGGATTTGTGTCCTTTTCCTTTAGTGGCTCGCACCTAAATTGGACCTGCGTAGTCTACTTCGGTGTGAGTAAATGATGGGTTTGGTAATACTATGGGACAAGGTAGCTCCCCTATCTGTTGGTGTGTAGCCTGTGCCTTATATCGTGAACACGTGGTGCATTTATGAATGACAGACTTGATGGCTTTCTTGCTATTAACAATCCAATATCATATAATGATATAGACTAATGTTGCTTGGTTTTCTCCATGTAATGTTGATTGGTAAGCACCTCTAATGATGATAATGGCGAGGTGATTATGGTATGGATTGATTATAAGGTGTTTTCTAGTATACGATAGTTGAGATTGTCCCAGTCTACCCTCAACTCTTATAATTTCAATATTATCTATGAACGGGTTAAGAGTCAATAGCTTGCTGCGTTTATGCACAAATATACTTTCCATCAAGGACTAGTAGTCTTGTTTCAATTCTTCAGATTGTGCTAGTTTTATGATTAGCATAAGTGTGTCTATTTATACTTTATCGGACCCTTGTAGGTACCATCTTTCAAAAATCTTTTGCTATATGATAGGACTTGTATCAATCGTGTTAGGCTTGAAAATCTGCACCATATCCCTTCGCTATATTTAACTTTGGTATGGTAACATATCTTTGCATTTATTAATTAAAAAGTTTTGCACGAGTCTTTCCTTTTGAACATATCTTTAGTTCTTCATTTGTAGGAACAGCTATTGGAGTTTTAGGCTATTGTTTCGTCTCTTGCCACCATAAGATATGTTTATAGTTTTACTGGATCCATTCCTCTGGATATACAATCAGCAGGATTTTCATTATATTTTACATGACTCCAGTGGTACGGTGGAACTAGTTTCTGTATTTCAGATGCTCTGTTTGCTGCGAAGTTCTTCCATCTTAAAGGATCTCCTCGTATCTATCCTAATGCAATCATGGAATCTGTCTAGGCATACATGGAGATATCGTTTAATTTAAGTGTCTTATTAACTTTAAGTTACTTAGCAGAACAGCGGAACAAAGTTTACGTCGAGACATGGTTGTTTTCGTTGCTGGAACAACTTTGGATTTGGCCTGTATCAACACTATGTATACTTTCCCATTATGAAATGTTCGTGTATACACCACAGCTCCATATGCCATTTCGGATGCATAACAGAAGCCATGCAATTCAGTATGGGTTTCTTCATAATACGCCCATCTTGGTTGTAACGATTGGAACCGTTATTCGTTATCATCTCTACTTAAATGTCATTTGTCGTCTTCTTTGTTTTTTTTTTTCAAATTTAGATGATTTGTTTAAAAAAAAAACACTTATCTGTTGTTAACAGGAGGTAGTAATATAAGGAGTGATTTGCATGGAATTCTAGGCCTTCTTCAAAGGGATTCGGGGTCCTTATTCTTAATTCTGGACTTGAATGATATTGTATCGATCTTCTATAGGTGAACCAAACCTCGGTCTTCAGATTGAACCAAACTCTTAGGTATAAAAACCATAAAACTTCTAGATATAAATTCCAATAAACCGTTTAGATACAAATCTCCATAAACTGTCTAGATAGTAATCCAAATAAATCGTTTAGATACAAATCTCCATAAACCATAAACCGTCTAGATATAGCCAATGCTAAAAAGAAAGGTTAAAATGTTAAGACAGGATATAGGAAATTGGAACAGAATTTAGATAAAATGCTTTTAACCAATGAATGAACAATTTAAAACTATTGAGTGAATAATTTTACAGGGACTAAAATTAATATGAAAAGGAAAAATCTTATTTAACATATTTAAACATAGTAAAGCATAGTATCTTATTCCAAACAAATAATACATAAAATTATATAAAACGTGTTATCCATGTGTGTTATTTATGTGTTGATAGGTATTGAGGTTATGTTTAAAATTTTACATTTTAATTAAGAAATCTTTGTACAAAATATATATTTTCAACAATATATCATTATTAAAGCTTACCTTACAAAATCAGACGGAATATACGAATATTAAAAATCAATTAGTATATCGGATGTCCAAGATATATTAAAATTCAAATCAACTTGATTCATTGACATCCAAATTAAAAATAAATCTTACAAGGCGAATAAAAAAGAAGACTACAAATGACATTTGAGTAGAGATGATAACGAATAACGGTTCCAACGAAAATCTTTTACTGCTTTAATGTGAGTCCTAAATTTAAGCCATTAATCAGTTGTTTGTTTGATTACTGGTTGGTCCAAATCTAACTCCTGAAGCCATAATATAAGTTTGCTCGGATAATAACAGATGCCAGTAACCCTAATGGGTCGAATAATTTAGCTATCTCAGATAAAATAACTCGCTTCGTCAGTTTTTGGTAATTTAATACATTTGTTTGAAATCGGAAGGTGTCGTCTATCGGCGACGATAAGATACCAAGGGACTTTCTTGTTTCATCTCCTGTTAATTGAATAAAATTGCCTGTGAAATTTTCTGGAAGTGCCTGAAGGATCTCTAGGCAGTTGCTTGACCACTTTCTTAATGTAAAACCCCCAGATTTAAGTGATGCTATTAAATTTTTCTGAAGTTTTACTGCTTCGTGTTTGCTGCTTGCTCCAGCTAGGAGGTTCAACATAAAAATCATATAGGATAATTTTGGAAGCTTCGGGAAGACGGTATTCTTCATCGTTAGCTAGTTGTTGTAATGTTCTTATGG